TGAACATTACTTTTGAAGAAAACATGCAGTGAAGTACAAATGGTCACATATAGGTCAACTTCTAGAAGAGTTTGGTAGTGATTCCATTGAAGAGGAGCCATGGAAAATAAATTTGCAAAGGCAGCAAAGGATGACAAGAAACATTCACATCTTCTTGTCTCCACTTCTCATTTTTTACATTTTGGACCTCCATATTTAAGTTGCATCTTCTTACAAGATCATTTGCAGGCATGTGGCTTAAATGTCCAAACCAACTTAATACTATGCCAACCTTTTCCTAGATGCATTAACTTCCCTAATATCAAAAGAGGTTCAAAAAATCAATCAAGATAAAACAAAAAAATACACCTTAACTAAATCTTATTTCACAAGTTAATATAAAATAATAAACAAAACTTGAACTTTATTAATTATTTATTTATTTTAAAATTTAAGTAATAAGACAACAGTGAAGTGAAGTTATGATACTTTTATAAGAATGTAATAATTTAAAAAATGTTTTACTAGTTTTTTAACATTATCTAATGCAAAATTTTAAATCAATAACATATATAAAAAATTTAAAGAAAATTAAAATCAAATAATTTATTTTATTATATAAAACAATAAAGTTATTTATTTTTTAGTTTTTTAAAGAGGATTAAACTATTAAATACTAATACATTTTACAAATTGATTAGGATTTGAGGCTTGAATTTTTTTATCCTAAAATTTAAGCTTTTTTAATTACAAAATTTTTTTTTTTGAGGGGGCCATCTTTCGTTTGTTTGAGGAATCTTATAAATTAAAAATAAATCTAAATATCAGAATTCATAAATGTTGGGAGGGCCATGGCCCAATCTGACTTGAATGTAACACTGTCAATGGACATCTCCATCAATAAACATTATAAATGATATATAGAAACAAAATACTGAAAAACAATCAATTTGTGGTGTCTCTTGCTTTACTTTCTATTCGAAGTACTCATAACTCCTCATATGGACGACTATTCCTCCAGCCTGTTTTTAATAGCTTGAATGTTTTCAATGTCGAAATTACACGCTCCGTTCCTCTCATGGCCATCCAATGAACTTTATCCAAGAAGATAAATAAATTTGATAATTTAAAATATAATATAATGATATAATATAAAAATATAATTTTAAATTTTAAAAAATTATAAATAAATTTAATAAAATAAAAAAATATATTTTATATTTTCGTATCGACATAAATTATAACACATAATTTTTGAATATAATATAAGATAAATAAAATATTTTATATGACATAGTAACATGAATTATCAAATCTAAAAGTAAATACCTTCAAATAAACTTTTTAATAAATAAGTTTCAACTTAAAACATTCAACCTCCTAAATTTATTTTTAAGTTTTGTATTGTGATTTGGGTTCAAATTTAATACTCTCACTATGTCAATATTATTGAACTAATAATTCATCAATGACGGTCAAAAATTTTATGTGCTAAGTTTGTGTCTAACTTGGTGCCCTATTAATCAAATTATGACATTTGTCATGTTGACATATTCAAAACTTTGACTTTTTTTTTTTCAATCTTTAATTTGATAAACATCAAATGCAATATCTATTCCTTTCAACTTATCGTTGGGCTTGATTGCTCAATTAAAGTTTCAAGCCCTTAACCAAATCATATATTTACATACATTTTTTATATATATATATATATATACAGGTGGATAGCTTATATTATTAACACATAAGATAGTTAATAACTTTTATTTAATTAATTATTTAATTTTTAAAATTTTAAATTTTCAAAAAATTACATTTATCCAATTCTTTTAATGTATAAAGATTTATCCTAATCTAAGCAAAAAAAAAAAAAAAGCCATAACTTGCTCTTACCAATACATATATGAAAATCGAAATTCAAATAGCTTTTAAAGATTAAATCTCTAAATCGTAATAACTATAAATTCATATACTAACTAAACCAATATTCTCGTAAATTTAAATAACTAAAATTTTTTGGATGACTCGTTGTGATTTATCAAATTTTCCTCTATTTTTCTATAATTTAAAATAAAAGAAAAATATATCTTATCTCAATTTAAAATCACACAATATTTTAATTTTAATTTATACAAACTTATTTTATCTTAATTTAAAATCAGACTTAGATAAACTTCATTTTTTGTAAATTTATAAATTTTAAAAATTGAAAAATTATTGAATATATATTTTTGTTAGGCCAAAATTTCATTAATAAAAGATAAGATAAACTCATAGCTTACAAACATAATCTCATTACATCACCTTCTAACTCTTACATAAATAAAGATACACCTAATAACGTTAAGTGTATAGCTCACTACATCATATAGAAAATCACCCCCTTTAACGTTATTATCCTAACGTACAAATACATTACCGTCAGGCCATGAAAAATTCCTCCCAGTCAACACCTACCTTGGCCAATGCATCAGCCGTCCCATTTTATTTTCTCGACACATTAGACCAATTTACAGTGCCAATATTCTTGATTAACCTATCGATTTCGAAGCATAAGTTCCATACCTTCCATGGTCGACCTGCCCATTTTTACACCAATTCATATCATCATAGAATCATATTCAATTATGAGTTCAGTACTCCCAACCTTTTCGGATTTAATTATATATATATATATATATGATTTCTTCTTATCTTTAATATTCTAATTTCTATAGAAATAAAAGCAATTGAATTTTGGTCACAAAAGTTTCGCATGATAAAGTTTTAAAATCAAAGATGAAAAAATCCTTGTTGTGGTTGAATAGAAATGTCTCCTTATGTGGTGAGCTTGGGTTCTTAGATCTTTCATTACGTTTTGTTATTGTATTTTTAAAGTTTTTTAGTTATTGACAAGATTATTTGATGAGTTTCAATTGTAAGAACTGCAAATCTGCAATATTTATGCTGTAAAATTTTTTATAAGAAACCTACAAATGCATTAAAGGAGAAAATTAATGATGAATATCAAGTAAACACGTGAGGGTTTTTTAGGAAATTTTAATTATAGTGTTTCTTTTTCTTTTTCTTTTTTTAGATTAATAACTTATATGTATGATGTGTTTGTAACATGATTCTTTACTCTTTAGGGGAATTGAAATATCAAATTGCACAAGCGAAGATGGGTTTTGGTGATTTACATTCAAATGTTAAATAAATACGTTATTTAATTATTATTATTTTTTTAGCTTTATGCTATTGCTTTTATTTCTATGGTATTTGTCTAATATTTTCTATTGCTATTATTTTGTAAACTTTATTTGTGCTCTATAATTTGTTATAGAAGACGATTTCAAGGATAATGAGATAGAGATATAATGAATCGGTTGATCCATTTAGTTATTAGTAATTATAATATTTGTTATTTTGCCATTACGAATTTGCAAGTTACTAATTGTTTGAATAAGTTGATCGAGTGAATTACAAATATAATCTTTTATTGAATCTTATTGTAAGATTATATTTGTAAATTGGAGTTATCTTGAATTATAATAAAAAAAAGTGATTATTTGATAATAAAAAATTTAAATATAGTAATATAAGTATTTTTTTTCTTACCTTCAAATAAAATTTTTCTAATTATCAAAAAAGAAAATTATGTTCTTGTATGACATTTTAGATAAAATTTTTTTTAATATGATATCCCTCATAATTGCCTCTTGATTTTGTATACTATTTTTATTTTTTTTATTGATGGTTTAAGAAATATTCAAGTTGGATTTTCATTGGTTAATGTTATAATAACGACTCAAATTATTTGATATTTTTTAATGTTTATTCATATATATTCATCAAAGTGACTTAAAATGCTTAACAAAAAACTTTATTAAAATTAGTTAGTGACAATAGGCGAAAATAAACACAAAGTATATACCGTGAATTTTTTTGGTAAGTAAAATTTAGGGTGACAATATTTTTTCAATACGAATTAAAATAAATCAAAAGTTTTAGAAAAAAATTGCATTATATTTACATATTGTCTACTAAAAGAGATGGTTGATAGTAGAATTTAAATATAAATTTTACCAACTCAATCAAATCCGGTGTTAGTATATAGCATGATTTGTTATTACTTGTTTATTTATGACTTATTTTTCATTTCTTTCTTTATTTTTATGATTTTATTAACATTTTAATGACAATAAAATTGTTTTCCCTTCCATCTTTGTCAAGGTGTCCACTTTCAAGTAGATCTAATAATTTAAAGTTTGATATTATAATATGATACAATATAATACAAATATAAAATATAAAAATAACACAATTTAAAATTTTAATAATAATTATATTTAATTTAATAAAATAAAAAATATTTTATATTTTCATATCGATACGAATTATAACACCTAATTTTTATATAAAACATAATATAAATACATAAATTTTAATATTTTATATTATATAAATACACATTGGATCTACTTCCAAGTCCTAATATGAAAATGCTTAACCATTAGTCAATATTCAATTTAGAAAAAAAAAAACTTATAGTCAATTTTAATTTTTTTAATCAGTTAACGTGATATTTAAGAAAAAATTAATTAATATATATGATATTTTCTTAAAATTTGGAAAAAACTAATTTTTTAAAGCAGTATGTTAATTAATTATAAGCATCTGTTAATAAATCCTCCAAAAGGAATATCTATCTTAAATTAAAAATAAATATATTTATTATGAAATTAAATTCATTCTTTTATACATAAGTCATAATTTAAAATAAAAATTTTTAAATATTAATATTTAAAATTTAAATTGTCATATTTGTTATTTTATTTTTTGAAACATATTTGTTATTTTAATCAATAAACTAAGGTGGGTCAACAGACTAGGAGTCAACAAGTGTCACAGTCAATTACACACACAAAAAAAAAAAAAGGTTAAATATTAATGCAAGTATCAATGAACTGTTACATTAATTAATTATTAATTAGTGAAGTTGAATGCTCCCCAAAAAATTGTTAATTTTACAAAAAAATATCTTTTTAACTCGTTAAAGAGTAATTAAGAAAGGTAGGTAAAAAAATTTAAGAAATGGAAAACACAGAATAAAAAGAACAAGTGAGATTGAGTATGAAGTTCGAATAAAGAAGAAACAGGCAACGGAAATACAAGGGGCGTTGAAAGCGGATTGTTGGGTTTTTTTTTTTTTTTTGTTCTGCTTTGTCGCCAACAAAGTAAAATTAAACTCAGTTTTTAACTGTTCAAACTCAGTTTTTCTGTGACACCAACTTCCGTAGGCCATGGCCCCTGGTATGAAGATCGTTTTCGGATTGTTAACATTTGTCACTGTCGGAATGATTATCGGTATGTCTTTGCCACTCGATTCAAAAAAAAAAAACTTTTTTTTTACACCTTCAAACAGGGTATCTCTTGTTCCTTGCTGTTTAATTAATTAATTTTGTCTGATTTTCTACCTTTTTTATGGTTTTAAAATCATGGTTTTTCTTTGAAATCTGTATTTCAAACCATGAAAGGAAATTTAGCTGATTAGATAGATGTATTTCGTTGAGATGAGAAATGGGATTTTGTTTTTCTTGGTTGGTTTTGAAATTTGAGCAATTGGGTTAAAAAATTTACTCATGTTTGCTTAAGAATGAGCAAATTGTGAAATTTTCTGCTAATTATCGCGTTTATTTCATGGTTTGAGATAGAGATTTCATTACTAACATTGAAATTTATTGTACCAAGGGAGCATGGATCGGGCTTTTTTCGGTTGTTTTTGCTGCATAGATTCGTTGTTATTCCTCTTACATTTTGTGTTATGATATGCAGGTGCTCTGTTTCAACTAGCATTCATACGTGGATTAGAAGATTCATACGGTATCTTTTTCTTCATTCCATATCTTTTACATAGTTTTGTGAATGCTGGTTTCTCTGATTACTTGCTTCCTTCTATGTTATTGTGCCAAGGAGTCTAATTTTTGAAAAGGTTTATTTATTATGCTTAGTTCAGATGTATGAAATATTCAGCAAAAATATTTTTAAATTTTATATTTCTCCTTGTATTATTTTTAAAAGATAGTTTATAGCTTATAGGCATTAATAAGTAGAGATTAGAGATAATGGCACGACTCTTCAACAATCTTAGTTTCAGCAACCAGCAGTTACCATATATTAGAATTATCCTTAAGTGGACCTCCTTGGGGCAAAATATTAAAAATATAGGACTTCACTTCTGTTTATAGATCATCTCAAGAAACTTTTGTAAATCATAAAAGGGTGAAAGTTAAAAGGGTGAAAGTTGCGATTTAACCATATCCAATTATCACTAGTCAAGAATTATCAAACATTTGTGAGTTCCCATTTTTCTTGTTTCGACAAACTCATATTGGAGCACTCTGCGACATTTTCTGATGTTTCCTTAGAGCTTATTTGGTATAATTTTGCATGCCTTCTAAAGACCTATGGAGGTCACCGCCAATGTGCTCCATCCAAGTGTTATTTCAATATAATATTTTAACCCAGATTTTAGGACTTGTGATGGGATAACCGTAGCATTAAGCTTTACAATAAATTAGCATTTTAGGGTTTGGCAAGTTGGCTGCTTTGATTTAGTTTCGGTTTAGTTATATAAGTAACTGCTATAACAACATTTTGGTCAATCTTCAACAGAATTTCTGGTTGTTTTATCATCTATTTCTTCATCCTTTTTCTTAGAGTCTAAGTTTAAACCTGTAGCTCATGGGATTGAAGTTGTTACCTTTCCTTTACGGTAGAAAGTTTCAAAATCTCCTTCAAAATCAGATTTAGTTCGTTCTAGACTTCATGTACCTGAGTCTAGATTTGGCTTTGAGTGTAGTGTTAGATTTTGCATCTGAGTTTGACCAGTGCAGGTTGCTATTATAAAATTTTAGTGGGCCGACACAACAAATTATTTGTGTCTAAAGGATATAATTTTAAAAGCATCTTTTGGAGAAGTCATGCTAGCAAAATGCTATTGCCTCCTTTGTTGTACAGCTTTGATTTCATTTAATTGTTTTGTTTTATTATTGCTTTATTGAGATATGCATCTTTAGTTACTTAAGATAACCATTGGAAAATTTTGACTGATATTATGTGCAGTAGAACTTTTTAATGTTTCAGCAAGCACCATGTTTAGTATTTCTTTCTCCTTTTTTTTTTTTTAAACAAATTCTATTCATATGCTTAATAGGTAATGAGTTTCCAACTACAAAGTTGCGTAGGAGTCAGATTGATGGCTATCTTAAGTTGCCAAGAGGTTGGTTTGGTTCTTTCTGGTTTTCAAACAATAAAGCAATCAAAATTTATTCAACATAATGAACTTTGGATAAAAATTTTTAAGTTTAGCCTAATTGTATATTTTGCTATAAGTTCATTGATGTATTTGGTCTTTTTACTTATTATATTTTCAGGTATGAGTCATTGGCATGGTGACAAAGAAGCAGAAATTTTGCGTGTTGGATATGTATGTTTCTTATATTTTTTGAACTTCATTTTTATTTTTTAATTTTTAAAGTTCTAGCGCTAACAATGAGACTGAGTTTTTTTTAATGAAATCAATAAAGGTTTGAATTTGCAAGGGAAAAAGGAAAAATGGTACAAAAGGAATAGAGAAAGCTTAAATTACAAAATTTCCCTTGACAACTGGTGGTGCATTGCATTTTGGCTTGTGTTGTTTGGAAATTACTACTAGTTTTTCCACGCTTCACAGTGGGTGCAAATTTGTTTTTTTATTTTCTTTGTTCTTCTTAAAATTAACCTAAATTTGTATACTGCATTCACTAATGCTTTTGAAAACCCTTGATTCATGTTTTTGGTAAACTTTCTTTTTCCAATTTGAGGGGAGGAATATGTTTTATTCTCTTCTCTAACAAGCCTCCTCTCATACCTGCAGGATGGGCTTGGTGTTCATCTAATCACAAACCCACCCCATTTGTGCTGCACAACTCTAATATAGCTAGCCATTTGCAGTATATGAATCATACTTAGATTTGCATGTCTTTATCATAGAGAAGAACGACCACACATTCTTGTTGCCTCACCTAATATTTTAAGTTTCTATTTGGAGTTATTTTTCTTACAAATTATATTGGAATAAAATAATATAGCAGAATTTGAAGGGGATTAGTGGAGGTTGAGTGGTTCTTTGATAATTTCACATGGAGTAAATAGAGGAGACTTTGAAGCAAAGGAAATTAGGAGAGAACAGGGGGGTGGGCGGGACAGCCTCTCTGTGCATATTAAAGCGTGACATAGATGGAGATGAATAATTTACTCTTTATTTGGATTTATTATGCGTTTTTATGCTTGTGTAAAATTTATCCCAAAGATGAGTCTTCATACACCATTCAGATATTTTCTGAAAAACAAAAAGTTTGACTTTACTTTTTGTTGTGATGATGCAGGTCAAACCTGAAATAATTAGCTGGTCACCTCGAATTATTGTACTTCATAATTTCCTTAGCAACGAGGTATGTATGTCATCAACGATTGAGAACCACTTGTAATCCTAGAAAGTATCACATTGGAAATTCTGATTCATTCAATGACTAGCTGTTATGTATGTCATCAATGATTGAGAACCACTTGTAATCCTACAAATTATCACATTGGAAATTCTGATCCATTCAATGACTAGCTGATATAAACAGCTATGTGATTAGGGCTATTGTAAGCCTTAAGATTTAAATTTGTAACAAATTGGGGGAAATTGAATAATGAAGAAAAAAAAATTGTAAGCTGCACAATTAAGGTTCCTTAGGGATCACATTTAGGTTGATTGCATTGCACAATCATAAGAACTATATTACCAAAAATTTTCTAATAAGAATCCTATCTCTCTATAAAAAGATTAAATTCATGTATATGGAATCCTAGCATTCCTAGTCCAAAAAATCACTAGACATATCATTGGCATGCTCCAAATTGAGCGTTAGGCGCTAGAACCTGCCTTGTCACTAACATGTTTGGAGGCTGGTTCCACCTTGTTTCATCAATACTATGATATTTGGTATAGGCTGTCATTGTAAATCTTTTATAATTGTTTGAATGTAGGTAATAAATAATAGGAATCACTGATCCTATTGCCTGTATCTTTTGATTGCTTGATGTGTTATACTGAAACTGATGACAAATTGTTTAGTTCCATGGGACTTTAATAAAAGCCTATTGGTCCAAGGAGCAGAAGCTGTATTCAAAGTAATTTTCATCTATAGCAGGTCATTTGTAATAGAAATACTCCTAAACTCTTTTAAGCACAGTTAATATGAACTAACAACAAGCAATTACTAAATTACACTTCATTTTGAATTTCCTTTTACAACTTAAGGGGTAAATGAGATTTCAACAAGTTATAACCAAGGCTAATCTGGTAGAGGTAAAAGATGATGTTTTGACACTTTAATTGTTGATATATTTAGTTAGGTGCCAAGAAAAACAATAGATTAAACAAATTATGATTGAGTGCTAGGTAGAAAAGTATTAAAAGACTGGAAAAGAAATTTTGTAAGTGAAGGCTATCTTTGCTAGGATAGAATAGACTAGTATTTTTTTTTGTCTTTGCTCAAGGCAGTAGGGTAGAATATTGAACTCTTTGTTTCTAGTGACATAAATAGCTCTTTTCTGAATATCGCTGCTCTCCTACTGGTGACTGACTGCATCCATCATCTGCTTAATGGTACTGAAGTCTCCTTTTACATCAAGTTCTAAGCTTTCTAAAACAACCACATTGACCTAAGTTAGTGCTTTTAAAATATCATATTAATGAGTAATCCAACACAATAGAGTTTAAATTATAGCATTATGATCTCTGCAGGAATGTGACTACCTTAGTGCCATTGCCCGCCCTCGGCTTCAAATTTCTACTGTGGTGGATGCAAAAACCGGGAAGGTATATTTGTCAACTTTTTCTATTCCTTGAAGTACTTCTTGCCGGTGTAGCAATTTGTTTGGCATGTAATTGCTTGCTAATTGAAAAGGCTCATCTCTTTTATGGACCTTCTGTTAGGTATCTAGCATATTCATATTTTGTTGAGGTCATATATGTATGCTTGTAAAGTATCTCCTCTTTTGTTTGTTTGATGTGTAAATATCTACTTTCTAAAGTTCGCTGAAATTTAGTGATTGGAGATCTTGTCTTGCTTTGAATTTGAGATTTCTTGATTGAGATCCTGTCAACCTTTAAAATTCTATGAAGCCTTTTCAAGTCTATTAAGAAAGCAAACCAGTCCTTATTTTGCATTTATTGAAGAGGGTTTGACTTGAGAATTTAATTAGGAAGCTGCTTGTGTTTTCATCTTTGCACTTTTGTCATTTTGAGCTGCTTAATTACTACCTAGGTGCTTTTTTGACCTATCAAACTTTTGTTTCACTTTAAGGTAGCCTAAAGATGAAGGAGCCTCTTTCTTATTACTGCACGATAAAGGATACTTAGGCATGGAGAACTCTAACTATTACATGTTGTAGAGATGGCAGCTGGGGGAATTGCCTTACCTTCTTTAGCTGCATCTCTGTCACTTACAAAGTATAAATTAAAATGGAATATCTTGTTACATATTCCTGCAAACCTAGCTTTAAAAGGACTCTTCCTCTTCTTGTCTTGTTATTGGTTAAGTTTTTAATGCTTTCAGTATAATGCTGAATGAAGGTAGTTATGGTCATAAGTTTTATCACAAAACAAAATCTGTATTTCCTATCTTTGCCCTATTACTTTTACTTTTAGTAACTTATTTTTCAAGACAAGAATTGATCTTACTGCAGCAGCTGTTTTTCAGGGAATTAAGAGTAATGTCAGGACAAGCTCCGGTATGTTCCTGAGTCCAACAGAGAAAAAGTTTCCAATGATACAGGTTAGTTTTCAAATTACTTCTCTCCAACATAAATGGCTGTGTCATCAATCTATCATATGAGCTAATCTAGGAAGCATAGAGAACGATTTTAATTCCTATCCTTGATGTTTTATATTTTACTGATGCATATTGCATCTATTAATAGCTACGGAAAAAAAGCATAAGCGTTGGTCCAAATTGGCATTTGAATGACGTGATCAAATATATATTTAGTTGGTTTGATGGAAATGTTGATGGAAAGTGTTGGCAGAATTAAGTATTTAGTGGAGGGTAAAAAATGGCATTATGACTAATCTCAGCTGCAGATAGAGACTATAGGAGAGACATTAACTTTTGATATTGCAATATGAAATTGAAAACACTGATGATGTGCTGGTTTGGTATGATAAGATACTTTAGCAGAAGCTGCCTTACACCTTGTTTTCTATATTGTTGACTAAATAAAGTGGCTACCATTCATTCTATCTAGTGAAAGCAGAATTCATTCTTTTGCATGAAGTAATTATGGATCACATAATGCTATGAACCTTCCATAAAAAAAAAAAAAGTAATGCCATGAACCTTATGCATCAAAATAAAGTGGCTGCTAAGTAATGTGATATGGTCATGACATGCACAAATTCATGCCACGAACTGATTACAACAATGTAAAAGTCTAAAATAGTGCTGCCACCAAACTGGCAATGAGTATAGAGAGGATCCATTGGTTATTTGGCTTACTCACATTGTTCATGATGACTTATATGATTTCCTTGGTAACAAGCTCAGTAAATTCTTTTAATGGGCAGAGAGATAGTTTCTGAAAATGCCCCCCACAGAGGCTTTTCAAAAATGTTTGCAAAGGTCTTGCTCTCATTTACCCAAAGGAACTATGCACTTGGTTCTATGGTTCTTGTATAAAACATATCTGTCTTTCCTCTGTTGATAGCCAGTTAGCAGTCTTTTATGGGTTATCTATTTTCACTGAGGATTTACACTTAAAGGTACGGTTTTGCAAATATTTGTACATGATATGCTGGCTACAATTCTTGGAATTTAAAAACATATTCTCTCATCTAGATGGCAACTAGAAGGTGAACACTGACTTGGGTATATATGATCAACTTGCACCATCTTTTAATTTTACATTTCATTTATTGGACTTGAGGATGAATTTCATCTGCATGATATGTTTCCTTTCTAACATTGCAAGTGTTGTTTACATCCGTCTTCTCCAATAGTCTAATAAAGTGTGATTGAAGTTTTCCCTCCATTTCTTTTTCTTTTGAACTCAAGGCAATTGAAAAGCGGATTTCTGTCTTTTCTCAAATACCAGCTGAAAATGGGGAGCTTATCCAAGTTTTAAGGTGGGTGTCCGACTTAAACTTCTTTAAAATATTGCTCAAAAGCAAGAAAACTGATATATCATGTTACCAAGGCTAACATATAATGCAGCACAGGTATGAAAAGAATCAGTTTTACAAGCCCCACCATGACTACTTTTCGGATACTGTAAGTTATCTGCCCTTCTTGAAATTGACATGGTGGATCTATTGGTTGTATCAGTAATATTTATTCTTATGATTTGAAGGTATCCTGATCCATTTCTTTCGACTATTGCAGTTTAACTTGAAGCGCGGTGGTCAACGAATAGCAACTATGCTTATGTATCTAAGCGATGGTGTTGAAGGGGGAGAAACATATTTCCCTATGGTAATTCCCTTTAAAAAAAAAAAAAAAGAGCAGGAACTTGACGCATAACTTTTGTTAATCATATTAGGCAGATGATACTTCTACTGCATTTAACGAGACATTCAACTTGTTTGTCCTTTTATGGGTATTTTGAGAATAACTGCCAATATGCCTTTGGTTTAAGGTACTTCTCTTAAATTGCGTAGGTGATTTGATAGATGCTTTCCAAGCTGATAAAGTTCATTGAGTAGTTCTTTGATACTGTGCTAGAAAGAGTAAGCACAGAAGTCTTATGAAGTCTGTTTATGGGTGTCAAGGGCAAGCATTGAAAATTGGGCTTTTTAAGGTTTAAAGTTGCAAAGAAAGCTTATTAGCTTTAATATATGAATTTAGGGTTTTAATTGATGGAAAATGATTTTTGGAAGTGAGGATGTAACTTAGTAGATTTTGGGGAAATAACTGAAGAACAGAATTTGGTGTCTACGGAGGAAAGCAGTGGAGTTGGAGAATTATGGTGATGTAACACTCCAATGGACAAGACAGGACTTAAAACCCACTATAGCATCCCAAATTTCTTTCATTGTCTTCACTCAATGTTGATGTACTAAGTAATAATCCGTTATATGAGAATATATTTGGGGTCGTATGGTGAATAAATACTACAGTAGAAGAAGTTTAAGAATTTGGTCTTATTGAAAACTGTTAGGAATATAATAAGGAAGTAGGGTCTAGGATTATGAATGGTTAGAAATATTGCTGAATTACTTATTACAAATTGGGTGGGAAGGACTTGAATCATATTACTGAAGTTTAAAGTAGTGTGTGTTTGGATTTAAACAAAAATCCAAAATGAAAACTGAATTAACTTTCTTTATCTTCTTCTTTTCTTTTTGTTCTGGGTTTGAAAAGTTTTCACATAGAATAATCCAAACTGACTATACCAAAAGGATGATCCTACTAGAATTGATGGTTTGTTTGATTCACTTTTTTCATTGGTTCTTTTGCTGACTTCTAGTACTGGTGTCGGCAACTTCACGTTTAGCAACTTTGTAATTTCTTGTCACGTTATAATTGATAGATTATGTCAATTTCTTGGACTGACATTCATACATCACTTTTGAAATATGGTTTTATTCAGCAGGAATGTTTTTTTAATTTTTAAATCAAACAAGTATTCTATTTCCGTATGAGAATGCATGCAAATTTCTAAATTGCAGGATTGGTTTTATTCAGCACCTTTTGTATATCAAAAACCTTATAAGTTTGCCTTGCATTACTAGGTTGGGTTCCCATTGTTATAATTGCCAGGGACTCAATATTAAGTATTATCTTGTCATGAATCCCATTGTTTTAACTGTCAAATGTTTTTACTTTGTCAACTTTTCTTTGACAATTATTAGACGTTATACCGTTCATTGCATCAGTATGTTAAAAACATGAATGTAATCTCAGGCTGGTACGGGTGATTGTAACTGTGGTGGGAAGATTGTGAAAGGGATGTCCGTAAAACCGGTCAAAGGAGATGCAGTGCTTTTCTGGAGCATGGTTTGTATCTTTCTCTTCTTGATAAACTTAATTTGCCTGTTAAACATGCCTTTCAGTGCATTAAAATTTTCAGTGCTTCTCTTAGGGGCTCGATGGACAGTCGGATCCAAATAGCATTCATGGAGGATGTGAAGTTTTGTCAGGAGAGAAGTGGTCAGCAACAAAATGGATGAGGCAAAAACCAACTTTCTGAATATAAATCCTATCCATCTTTCATATATGTTTGGGGGGCTACCCTTTCACTATGTCTACAAATTCGCATCAATGCTTTAGCCAACGAGTAATAATCTCTTACAGTAGGAAGTTAGTATTGCCTAGATACCGAAAGTCGAGTTTCACACTTTAAGCAATCAAAATACCATATCAGAATAGTGTACAGCTTGAGAAATGAACAATTAGATATAGTTGCATCACTCATTTTTATGCACCTATTTTAGGAGTGTACTTTGATGCCCTCCATGATTACCCCCATATCCCCAACCCAAGGACTATGTTTCTGTATGTTGTTTTTGAACATCACTGCCCTTCCACAGACATAATGTTGATTTAGAACAAGTTGTTTGTAAGCATCCATCTCCATTTTTGCCAGGTTTTAGTTGTTTAAGTTCTTCACCTGTTTCTTTTCTCTTGTTCTAATTAGTTTTGTCATGTGGAATGGGCTCCTTCTATGACAAAAAACATTGGAAAAACAAGTTTTTCTCTTTCTTTCATTGATTTATAAGCTATCTGAATAACAATCTTCATCTATTAGGGTTAGATTGGTTTCTCAAATCATTTTTATGAACTTCTCAGTTTTTTCAACCTATACCATAATGAAGATATGGCTGCAATGGTTTTTAATCAATTTTTTCTTAAATTTAGTACACTAAAATACAACAACAATAACACACTAAACCTAATGTCCCATATTTTGGAGTTGATTGTATGAAAACCCAAATAAGAAATTCAAGTTAGGTTTTAGTTTGAATTTTCTTGCGTCATCTATTTTTATCAACAATAATTTTTTTCATTTAATTTTTTAATCATCATATTATTTTTTATTATTTGCATTCATATCTTTTAAGGTCAAGTTTTAGAGGTTTTGATTTCTCAACTTAATTTTCGTAATTAGTGCATAAATGGGTTTATGTTTCACATGTTCAAACAATCACAAATGAATTTTTCTGATATTTAAAAAGTTTAAAAAAAGTCAATACTTTAAAAAATTTTAATATTTTGAAAAGTAATAATTTTTTTAACATATTGAAATCCTATTTTTTGATATTTTTAATTTGATTTTTTTTTACATAAAAAAATCAGCAAATATTAGTATTAGGAACATTTAATTTAGAAAGATAAATATTTGTTTTTCGTATTATCATCAATGGTTATAAAAAATATATATATTAGACCGAATAAAATTTAAAATGAATATGAATAAATTTTGATATATTTACAATTTATTTGTTTAATCAAAGAAATTTAAAATATTATTAGTGATCATTTATTAAATTTAATAAACAATTTAAAATATTTTATACTTTTTTGTTAACTTTAATAAATCAATTATATTTTTTATTGGAGACATCAATGGATACGGTATGAAAGTAAGTAAAGCATTTTACATTTTTGTTTTTGAATTTTTATATTATACATATTTTTTTATTTATATTCAATAAATATTTTAAATTTATCTTTATTCTCGTAAAATTGATATAAATAATTTTTATACTCATAATTTTAAAAAAATATTTTATTTTTATCTTACATATTTATATAATTTTTTAATAATTATATATTAATATATTTTTAAACAATAAAATAATAATTCTAATTAATATAAAATAATAATTTATATTATTTAATTAAAGATATATATATATATATATAATAAAATACAAATACTAAACAAATATTATATTATTCATCCTCATTTTATGCGCAATAAAATTTAAAATTATATCTATTTTGATCCACGTCTCTATCTCCACGATATATCATCCATGCTGTTTGATAAAACATCAAATTCCCTGAGTAAAATTGAGATCCCTTTTTTACATATTATTCCTTCAATGTTCGTTTACAACCATAAATTTAATTAATTAATTAGTTTGATTGAAATAAAAAATTCAAAAAGCGCGGGTCCCACTTCTCCCCCAAACGCAAAACCGTCTCACCCAGCCATCGAAGACCTGACAATGGAATGGACATTTTTTTTTTCCTTTTCTTCTGGTAAAATCAAATTTCCACTTGTTTTTCTTTCTTTTTTTTATTTAAAGGTTCTGAATAAAAAACAGAAGAAATTGGAGAGACAAACGAAGTAGAGAAAAGGATTACCAATTTCTACTTCCATTAAAGGTTTTAACTATGTTTCGTTGGATCGGCTCTTACTATTCTCTTCAGCTAATTTCGTTTCTCGTAGTTTCTTCTGCTATAAGTAGCGCTCGCAGTTGGGGCGTTATTAACGTCAAGTACAAATTCGCCGGCAGTCAACGGTCTCTGTTTGACTTGAAAGACCACGACAGTCGCCGTCAACTTCGAATTCTCGCTGGTGTTGATCTCCCCTTGGGCGGTTCCGGTCGACCCGATGGACTTGGGTTAGTATTTCAATCTATATATACTTTTTTTTAACAAAAGTTTGTGTTTTATTTTATTTTTGAAAATTTGGATTTTTTGGTAGGCTATATTATGCAAAAATAGGGATAGGAACACCTCCGAAGGATTACTATTTGCAAGTAGATACGGGAAGTGATTTAATGTGGGTTAATTGTATTCAATGTAAAGAATGCCCCAAAAGAAGCTCCCTTGGTGTAAGTCTTCCTTTTTTTCTGTCACTCTCTCTTTTTCTTTAGCCTTTGTTTGGTTTTTACTTTTTTTTTTATAAAGGAGGTCACAGGGATATGGGAAGGGGTTGCAGGTGCTGGGATTTGAATCCCAAACCAACTAGATGCCAACTTTTAAGGGTAGTTGCATGAACCAATTGAGCTAAGATATGGTTCGTTTGGTTGTTACTTTTATTAATTATTTTTTGCTAGTATTTTAAGCATTGCTTTGTAAAAAGAAAAAAAAAAACATATTTATAGTCTAAAAAAGTAACAGTAGAAAGTAAAATTATACTAATTGATTAAGAATGAACAAATGAACTATTTTAATGCAACTTTTCTATATCAAATAAAATGATTCTTCAAAATAGTTTTTTTTTTTTCCATTCAAACGAAAAATTATCATTTTGCTTCTGGAAATAAAGAGCTAGTAAAAGTAACAATGAAATGCTATCTAAAAATAATGTGTTCTGGTTATCCAAAAAAAAAAAAATTATGCATTCCTATTGTTCAATTTGTCAAAAGTATTTTGTTTTCTTTTATAGCTAAACGTGTTTTTTGGGTAAAAACCAAAGATTGTGATATATACTTGGTATCTTTAATCATATTTGATCACATTTGTTTTATTTATATGCTATGGTTACAGATAGATCTTACTTTGTACGATATTAAGGACTCTGCCACTGGCCAGTTGGTTTCATGTGATCAAGAGTTCTGTCATGCCATAAATGGAGGTCCATTGGCTACTTGTACGGCTAATATGTCTTGTCCATATCTTGAGATATATGGAGATGGGAGTTCCACTGCAGGATACTTTATAAAAGACATTGTACTGTATGATCGAGTGTCTGGCGATCTTGAAACCTCATCTGCAAATGGAAGTGTTATATTTGGGTGAGTTGTCAATCCTTCTGTTACTCTTCTATAATTCATAGTTGTGATACATGTGGCACTGTGTTAGCTTTTAAATCACTGGCTAGGCACTTTCTTGCAAAATATTCTAACTTGCAGGTGTAACTGCTGCTGATGTTATTGCCAGTAAAATCTCTTTAATTTGTTCAAGTTCAGAAGTTCTTGTTTTCCCTCTGTAGATAGCAGAACATGATAGCCATCTAGATTGTAAAATTATTTGCAAATTATTCTGACAATTAGAAAAAGTTTTTAAAAAGTTAAACCTAATTTTCATTAATGGCTCCATGTACTTTCTTGATTACTTTATTTTATGAGATTTTCTTAGTGCTGTACATTTTGAATGTCATTGTGAAGTTGATGTCTAGCTTATCATTTAATACATACTAGCATATATTTTGTGCCTGCCTTTCTCTTCCTTTTTTCCCTTTCTCCTTCACACAACTCTAGTCTCTGACAACAGGTGACATTTTTATGACTAAGATGCATCATCTGATCCATCTTTATTTTGTGAGAAAAATGGGCTTCAAATTAATCAATTGTAGGTATTTGTTATGATTTAAGATGACATATTCATGATGAGAAGGTACTGTCTAGACTCTAGAGTATGTAATGTTCATATTGTTTAGTTTTAAAATAACTGTTATTATTGACAATTCACCAAGTTAAGTTTGAATAACTTGAAGTTTGCGGGAACAGGATGAAGTTGCATCAATTTCTCTTTTAGGGTTCTTCGGAATTACAACATGAGATTGTCTTCTGTCTCGAACTTGCCTGGGCTTAATGAATGTTTGATTTTGCATATGTAGCTTATGCATACTTGTGTCTGTAAAGTATGTGCTCATAATGTGTGTGCATTTGCTGTTTGCTTTTACTTCTTTTTTGAGGTATTATATGGTTATTCTAGCATTCTTTTTTCATAGGTGTGGTACTACACAATCAGGGAATCTAGATTCATCTAATGAAGAAGCACTTGATGGAATACTTGGCTTTGGAAAATCTAATTCATCAATGATTTCCCAGCTTGCTTCATCTGGAAAAGTGAAAAAGATGTTTGCTCACTGCTTAGATGGGGTTAATGGAGGTGGTATCTTTGCTATCGGGCATGTTGTGCAACCAAAAGTTAACATGACTCCCTTGGTACCAAATCAGTATGTGACATCGTTGTTGAATATCATTGCTTGTTTTTACCATCACAGTTTCCACTTATTACTTGCTCATATTTTATTTTCTATTAAGTTGGTTTTTTTTAGCATTATGTGTTATAAAATTACATAACTGTTGGAGGAAAGCATCAGAGTTCAGGGGGAATCATCATCATGATTGTTGTCTGAAAAGACTGAACAAGAATTGTGTGCTGCTAATTATTTTTCGTTTGGCCCTAGGATTGTTTGTGTCTAGCATGTGCAGCTTAGAAGGCCTAGCTGCAGGCTTAAGGGTTAATTTGCCTGAAATGATTTGATGACTAATGGTCAATAGTAGTTTTCATCACTCAGATTGTGGTGGTTGGACTGTGGAAGTTTACTCCATTTATTAGCTGCCACTGCACAAAAAAAAAAAAAAGGGTGGTTACTAGTGTGGAAAAGAACCGCATATGTAGTCATTTCAATTTGTACCGACTGGATCGGAGACTAGCTTCTCTATGATATGTTAGTTTTTGACTCATTTGCATGATTTTGATTGTCAATGTTTTGACTTCGTCTTCTAAGTCACATATAGCATATGAATATGTGATTCCATATTTTGAACTTAGTCTTGTCATATAAAATTTCAGGCCACATTACAATGTCAATATGACGGCAGTTCAAGTTGGTCTTGATTTCCTAAACTTTACAACAGATGTTTTCGAGTCAGGAGACCGAAAAGGGACAATAATTGACAGTGGAACTACCTTGGCATATCTCCCAGATATGATTTATGAGCCATTAGTAAATAAGGTATGTGATATAAAATTGGCTTTTATCTTCCAGAGAGTTTCACTTCGGTGTGCTAAAGTTTTATGTTTTTCTTTTTATCTCTGGTTAGATACTTTCTCAGCAGCCTAATTTGAAGCTTCAAACTGTTCATGATGATTATACATGTTTTCAGTATTCTGAAAGGTATGAAACATGGTATATAGCAATAGTGAATCATGTTGGAAACTGTTTATCATGTTTAGATTTGGATTTTATTTATTTTGTCATATCTTAAATTCCTTTATTTAATTCAATTTATTTGGCATCATAATTTTTTTGGGGATAATTTTTATCTGATTTTTTGCCTTTTTCTTTCTCTTTTGCTTAGTGGTTCAGTTTTAAAATAATTTTTTCCTTGACATTTGTTTGTGCTTGCTTCATTTGTGCTAGGGCTGAACCCACTTTTTAGGTGCCTTTAATAAAATTCTCTCATTATGGAAACTGTATGCCATTAGAAAATGTCCTAATTAATGCCTGTTGGTTTAATTTGTCATTCTAGCTATATACTTCTTGATTATGCTAGTGGTAGTGCTTGATTCCTTTTTCTCCGATTGTTCTGAATATAGTATTTTGTCCCAATAGTTCTCTGCTCCCTTTGGCTAGATTAACTTGACTAAATGATCACTATATTGAGTGTTCTATGCTAAACCTTATTTTGATAGTAATTTATATTTTTGTCAAGCAATGTTTTTATTTGCATATATTTCTTTTATTGCAGTCTTGATGAGACATTTCCAAATGTCACTTTCCATTTTGAAAATTCAGTTATTCTGAAGGTTTATCCACATGAGTACCTATTCCCCTTTGTAAGTGTGTTTAACTTCACAAATTTAGAATCTGGTCAAATGTCTATTTTGCTTGAAAGATTTGTTTAGCTGCCTTGTTCACAGTTCTATCTTTTCGTGGTAAGCTTGTGAGTGTCACTTATGAAAGTTGTTTGCCACTTTAAGAGAAGTCCTCATGGATCAGGTCTGTCCTCGGGGCTGTGCAGGGACATGCCCCCTTGCATGTCCTGAGTGGTTCAACCCGGGCCAACAGCAAAAAGTGGCTGTCTCCCTTCTCCTCTGGGTTTAACAGGAAAAAAAAATTATCTATATAGTCGACAATTTTTATTAGTAATGGTGACAATCTCTTTATGTTCTGATGAAATAAATATTTGTATTTCCATTCTGTTTGGTCAATGCATAATACTGGTGTGACAAATGTCTATAAAGAACATGTTATTACTCTTCCTGCTCTAATTTTAGTTTTGGGAATTAAAGTTGTTTGATTATTGTTATGTTATTATTATTGCTATTATTTTATGTGGCCTTTATGTAACATTTACCTGGTCTTAGTCTTGCTTGATTTGGCACAGTAAATAACTATTAGATTAAGTTGAATGAATTTTAAATAGGTTTTATTTTGAGAGCTGTGAATGTTTCTGAATGCAGAAGCAGAACTATAATTTTAACAATTACTGCATATTAGGATTGTTTTTGTCATATAGTTGAGCATAAATCATCTTAAAGGTTCTTCGGAGTATTATAAACTGGTAGTGATTGCATAAATTGGTATTTACAAGGGTGGATTCATGCAGAATGGTTTGTGGTGCATCGGATGGCAAAACAGCGGAATGCAATCCAGGGATCAAAAGAATATCACCCTCTTAGGAGGTATGCCTTCCGACCATGCTTTTTGTTACTTCTGAATTGAAGACCTATTCTTTCAAGTATAATTGCTATACATTTTCATTTACCTTTCTGCTTGTGTTTAAATCTCCAACTGTTATGTGAAAATACATATTTGCAGTACCATAACTCACATGATTTATTCTGATGTGTTGAGTATATTCGAACTTATAACAATTTATTTATTTTGCATTGGTAGAAAAATTTATGGAGTAAGTCTTCAAATCCAAGTGACTGCTAAATGGAATTCTTGAGTGTGAACTGTTTAGCATTGATTTGTTAGATTTAAGTTGTAATAAAATTTGCAGAAATGAGTCATTTGTAATTTTCCCCTGAATATTGTTGTGTTGTTTACAGATTTGGTGCTTTCAAACAAGCTCGTTGTGTATGATTTGGAAAATCAGACCATTGGATGGACTGAGTACAATTGTGAGTATCATGTTACCTTTCCTTTCTTGTTTGCTTTATAATAATTGTAATAACAGGTACAAAATCTTGGGCTATTATTGTTTCACATGTTTTATGTCATTTATAAGAGATGTTTCTGCTCTCTTTTTCTTACTTGATTGCATCTTGATTCTGAAGTATTATTATTGTTGAATGTTTTTGATAGTTTAGTTTGCCCTCATTCTTTAAACATGTACAAATCATGTAAAGATATTTAAAATTCCCATCTATATATTCTTTACTAGATTAGTTGCCTTGCAGTGAGTTTTCATCAATCTTTTTCACCTAGTTCTAGTTTTAAAGATATAGGTGAGATATTATCCATAGAATTGTGTAACTTTCAGTAATTCTTGCGGCATTAACTTTTCCTATAACTTTTTTGACTCGTGGAAGAAGTATTAGATTAGCTTTTCGACTTTCGAGTGAATGTTGACTCTTATGTCAGAACATAAAATGTTAGATGGTTATCAACAGCGTTAAGTATCAATTCAGAATTCTAGCTAGAAAGCACTACATGATGTGCAATAGAGACATAGAGTTCTTTGTCTTCCCTTTTTTAACTTTTTTACGCTTGATTTCAGGCTCTTCAAGCATACAAGTGCTGGATGAACGGACTGGAACAGTGCATTTAGTAGGTTCCCACTATATTTCTTCCGCTTGCCATTTGAATGCCCAGTTTATCATGATTTGGTTTTTGTTAGCTACGTTACTACACTATTCAAACTGCTGATATTCGATAGACGATACAAAATACTAACAGTCAATTAAGTTATAGAAATCAAATATAAAATTGAAATCAAGATATTCATCATCTTGATATGTAGTTTGTTGAATAATTAACATTACATGATAGAATACTTGACATGACTTGTACATGTATCTCCAAAGCAAGCACAGCAACAAACTGGGACAAGGACCTTGTAATAGATTGTAACCCTCACAATTTGTGCATTCATATCATGCGAAACATTGATGATTCATGTATTCGTATTGTGTTTTATATAAAAGTTATGTGTTATGCTTTATGTCGATAAAGAAAATATGAAATTATTTTTTTTGTTTTTATTAAATCCATATTATTCCTTAGTATTGAATCTGTGGAAATAAAACGTATACAAAGCATACACACTTGCATTGCTTTGGCATACCTGAGTGTGATTTTCTTTTATTTTCAAACCTTGAAGTTGAGCTTTCCAAAACAAAATTTGAATTCGATTCCATTTTTGCATTTGTTTTTTCTATGTTTTGATTTTTATTAAAATAAATATTAATAAAAAGGAAATAAATAATAAAATAATAAAAAGAGGAGGAAATGAGAGAAAATAGAAACGTAGAATCTTATCGGGCTGTCGGGCCCAATTTGAAATGGAAAATGCTCAACGCAATTCAAGGATACAAAACAAATCTTAAAATTTATTTAGCAATTTGGGAACTTAAAATAAAAATTGAAGTCCAATTAACAAAATTCAAAATTCAATCAATAAATTGTAAATTCGAAAATCAAGTTTTAAACATATTTAATAAAATTTGATCATGAACGTGAAAAACAAAATTTTAAAAATAACTTTGAACTAATACAAAAAATTTAAAGTTGGTTTAATTATTGAAAACAATTTAAATCAAATTATTTCAATAAATTGTATCACTTGATTCCTAACAAAATGCGATTTTTATAATAATAAAATTAACTTAAATTTGAATTATTTTAGATTTTTATTTTGGATTATTTACTTGTGTTAATAAAATTGAATTAGTCAAATTCAACTATTCAATCAAATTTTTTGAGTTCAAAGAGTTGTAATAACAATAATTTATTTTTTAGAACACGTTTGATTTGAAAAAATTCATAATTTTTTTCTCTAAATCTTGATGGTGGGTATTTATTTCCTCTGTTTGGTTTAAGGTAATTCAATTACAGGAAAAATGTCAAATTCTTAATGATACCCAAAGTCTCATAATCATAAACCTATATTTCTTTGTGGTATTTTAGGATTATGAGGAGAAAGTTATTTTATTTTCAAATTTGACTTGAATAAAAAATTTGTCATATATATGTTATGTTTTTGAAAAGTAAGTCTGAAACTCAGTTTTAATTTTTTTTAATTTAATTGTAGCATTTCTTTTAAATAAGATGTCATAATTGGTACAATTTTTTAGTTTTCCAATGTATCATATTAAGTTCATATTATAGCGTTTTGTAGTACATACGCCTTATCTAGTACCTCACACGTCTGTGATATAAGTGGCTATTAAGGCGTTTCATTGCAAAAACGCGTTAATTGCTTATCAATTACAGCGATCAAATGGTACATATGCCTTATTTATATTCAATCATAGTTTGATAAAAATTTAAGTGGCTATTAAGATGTTTCATTTGAGAAACACCTTAATTGAAATGTTGTAATTGTCACATATTAAAATTTTGTTTTCTCTCTTGAAGATCTGACATAATTGATTATCAATCGTAGTTTGATAAAGATTCAAGTAGCTATTAGGGTGTTTCTATAATTTTTTTTCCACATATTAAAATTTTTTTTCCTTTTCTAAAATCGTATTTAACATAATGAATGTTGTAATATCTAATCAAATTTGAGAGAACCTATATTTAATACATCAAATAAGGCATTTCTATATATTAAACGCCTTAATTGATGTTTTCATCATGTTTCAATAACCAAATGCATTATTTTTATTTTTATTTCAACACATCAGAGCTCAAAGCAAATACTTTTTTATTTGAGCCAACTTCAACTTCAATATCCATCATTTAATCTTCGTCCTATTAAGTTTATTTACGTTTTTTTTTTTTTATAAACGGTGTGTATATTATTTGATATCTAATTAACCATTACGCATTATTTATTGAATTCCAATCTTTTCTTTTCTTTTTTTTTTTTTTGCATCTTTTTAGATGCTTGGATCTGTTATTCATTTGGGTTTTAGCTCATTTAATCATAAATATTTTGTTGATGATTTATATATATATATATATTTTATATTTGATAAATTCCATGTACCATATACAAACATTTGCTTTCCAATTATGTTTTCAACTTTAATGAGATTTTGTTTTCTAAACAGTTATGACTCATTTATCATTAAGAACGAAGATGTAATTGGTTACCTAACTTATGATGCATTTAAACCATATGAAGATTTTGTTGTATGTGTTATGTTTTGTTACTGTGACTTTATTTGATACGAACCTTAAAAAATAAGACTATCTTATGGTGAAACATCTTATGATAGACTATATATTAGAGAATCAAACTTAAATGCAACAATTTTTTAGAACAACAATAGTGTGTAGATAATACCATAATGCATAGGAGAATTTTTGTAAAATTATGTTATTTGCTTCAAATAAAAGGGGATTATACGTATCTAGATATATATCAATAAAGAACTGGTTATTAGCTTTATCCACATTATTGCCCATCATACAAAAAATAGAATTATGAAGTGTCGAGTAATTAGATCTTAAGAGACGATTAGTAGGCAATTTCATTTTGTGTTGAATTCTATTTTAAGACTACTTATGCTATTGTTTAAAAAATCTAAACTAATACCAAATAATTCAATAAATAATATATGAAATGGTTCAAGGGTTGTTTAGGTACTTTAGATGGCACATACATTAAGACCAATGTAGATGCAGTTGACAAGCTTAGATACAGGACTAGAAAAAATAAAATTGCTACTAATGTCCTTAGTATTTGCACTTTAGATATGCAATTCATATATATTTTATCGAGAAAGAAAGGTTCTACTCTAGATGGCAGAGTGTTAAAGGATGCAATACATGTAGGAATAGGTTGAGGATCCCATAAGGTATTAGCTTTATATGTTGGTTTAGTGTTTATAACAAAACACCTTTTTTTTTATGTATTAATGTTGTTCCACTATAATAGATAATTATTATTTGCGTGATACCGGATACACAAATAAAAAGGTTTCTTGGCACCTTATAGAGGTTAAAGATACCATCTTAATGATTGGAGAGCAAGACTTTAACTGACAACCCTTCAGGAATACTTTAACATTCAACACTTTCAAACAAAAAATTATATCGAGAGATGTTTTAGTATATTGAAAATTAGATGGACAATTTTAAAAAAGAAGTGATTTTATTTAATAAAGCCATAATGTATAATCATTTTTACTTATTGCCTCCTTCATAATTTTATTAAGTTTGAGATGATAATTGACCCTAATGAAGGTGATGTTACTAAAAGAATTATTAGCCAACTAGATGGATCTAAACATCAAGATTTGATTGCGTATGTTGACCCATATGATTCTTGGACTTAGTTTAGAGATAATCTAGTTAATGAGATATTCATTTGGTTGTAATCTCGGGGATAAAGACATTATATAAATTTTTTGTATATTATAACGTTTACTCAATTTAATTACAATGGTTGAGTATAGAATTTAGTTTATACTACTGTTGAATATATGTTTATCAGATATTTCTTTTATTCTTGAGTGTCCAATGTATATTACAAATTTTTGCAATAATCTTTGCTTTCTTTTCATATTTATTCGTTTAATTCATTCCCTTTTTACGTTTTTTGTTTACTATATTGATATTGTTGCATGATGTTTAACTATGTGATTAGGAATTCAACATGTCTTCATCTCGTGCCAATCTTTTTCAATCCGTGTGAGGCCTATCTAGAAAAAAATAGAAAGTTTAGCAGGTAGGTAACCATTCTTAGACAAAGAGGAAGATTCCTATCTGGTTTAATGCCTACATTTTTTGGTAGATGATCTAGATGGAGAGCAAATAATGGTACATTTCATGTTGGATATTTAGGTTATCTTGAACGAGTACTAGAGCAACTTATTCTTACTTTCTAACTTAAAGTTACCCCCATATCGAGTCAATGGTTAAGCTACTCAAGAGATAATATGAAGTAATTTGTGAAATAAAAAATACTAGTAGATTTGGGTGGAATGATCAATACAAATGTATCATAGTTGAGAAAGAAATTTTCGATGAATAGGTTCGGTAAGTTTTTTAAGATTAAACTTTCGCTTACCTTATTTATTTATGTTTTTTTTTTATTTGTATTCACTTTATCTTTTTTGTAGACTCATCTACATGTTTTAAACATTTTCATTTAATTAAGGCATGAAGAGTTTTTTTTTTAATGCAAATAGAGTGGCATGTTATAAATTTCATTCTTTATATTGAAATTTAATATTTAATATTGTAGATAAGACCAATTTCATATATGTATTTTTAGAACAAAAAGCATACTTGTGTGAATGATATAAGAAATTGGTTGTCATAGCGTTTAAATGAAACGACTGGGAATTGGTATTAATTTAAACAAATATAAACTTATAAAAATTAACAGCTAGACAATCATAGTGCCTATACAAAAAAATTTGAAATGTTTGTATATATTTACAACCATTTTGATTGTCCTTAATTTTTAATGTGCAAATGTGGATACGTAATTACACAATTCTTTACAAACTTCATTAATTTTTCTTGCATGAAGCTTTCCTTTTGCGTCCATTATTAGTAAAAAATAAGAAGTCAATATTAATCAACTTGCACAATATTATATAAGTTTAATTGAAAGATATTATTTATTATATAGTATTCATATTAACCTTGAATTGTGTGCTCATAATATCATACATAACAATCTCCCTAATAAAACGAATGATATAATATCCACATTCGATAGCTCTTGATTGATAAGAAACCTGAAAATAAAGTTGAGTGGGTTGCTAAACATTTTTCTAAACAAACTTAGCATAAAAAAATATATGTTACACTAACCGATAATTTCACGCATTTGAACTTTCTATTTTTATGAATTACAGCCAATCCTTTGAATTGAACACAAAAACCATAATAAACATAAATACTAGTAATTATACAAAAATATATTTTAATTATATTATCACAAATACATAAAATGTAATACCTCTTTATTAAATTGGCAAGGTTGGGTATAGGCATCTCAGATGGTTGTCCGGAGTTCAATAAGGAGTTCACGTATTAATCTTAATTACAACAAGCTGCCAATAACCTCTACAAACAAGCTGCCAATAACCCTTACAAAATAATATACATGATA